ACAATCACTTCCCAGATAACAGCAACTGGCAGCTCCTCAAACCAACGCTGACACTGAAGCAGTTTGAGAGCAACCTGCAGCACAACAGCGACTTCTACAAGCTGGGGCTGCTGGATGCACACCCACAGACAGCCCTCATCCAGACAGGTAAGCCCTTGTCATGTCAGTACCCACAGTGCAAGATTAGAAGCATTGCTGTTCATCTATTAGTAAATATAACCTGACAACGAGATTAAAGCCTTTCGCCGAGTTCCAAATTTTGATTTACAGAACAGTGCATAGCCAGGCTCTTCTTTATATTTCATACTGAGCACCCTGAGTGCACCCTGCAGCTCTGACATGCAGAGAACCCTAAATTTGGGGTCACCCTCCCCAACCCCTTAAAGGGCTGCAGGAATTAAGCTGGTCCCCATGAATGCAAAGAACACAGTTAAAACTGAAAGGCAACAACACTGAAGGGTTTCATGTCCTCCAGCACACTGTGAACGGGCTCGTAGGGCAGCAGAGGATCTCATGTCTGTGTGCCTTTCTCCAAAGCTCCTTAGGGCAGCTGCTGGGCTGAAATCAGCCTGAGCCCATCAAAGTCAGCCCTCTTCGAGCACACAGGCTGCTGGCACTTGCACTGCACACACGCTTTCATATTCCACAGGGACACTTTCAGTTTATATTCTACAGGAGCACAACTCCATTTCAGTTTATGTTCTACAGGATTAATGCAGGCCTGCGAGCCAAGGCCACTCGGACCTTGCTCTTTCTGAGGGGCACTGATTTCTGCAGACAGCTGCAGCTCCGTAGGGCAGTGGGTAGGTTCATTTTCCATACAAAAAATGCACTAGAACTCCAATGTGGTTTCTTTCCTTACCTATTTCATAGAAAATGGAGCAGCCACCATATCAGTGGAGTGCCGCCCTTCCACACTATTCACCTTTAAGCTGGAGGGAACAGACGAACACGGCTTGCTGACCTTGCGGAAGCAGGGCATGAAGCTGGAGATCTACCCCCAGAAGACGGGACGCCAGGAGCTGCAGATCTTTGCCAGACCCTCCAAATCCACCGAAGACGTCTACACCTGCGTGCTGGAGTACATTGTGGAGTGCAAGTCCGTGGACAAGAGCAGACGCTTCCCAAAGGACCTGCACCAGCCCGTGGGGCCCAGCTGGTTCACAGAGAAACAGGGCTTCCTGCGGCCCTCGCACCCCGACCCCATCATCCACACCAACGACGGGCGCTGCTCCCTCACCTTCACCATGGGGAAGGACATCAGCATCCTGACCTCGCTGCACGCCGACAGCAGCAGCCTGAGCGAGGAGATGAGCAGGCAGCACATCATGCAAATCCACCGCGGCAACCAAGTGGAGTTTAAGGTGCACCTGCCCCACGCGGGGAGCTTTGTCCTGAAGTTCTTCACCAAGAAGAAGTCAGATCCCGGCAGTTACACCTTCGTCTTCAACTACCTCATCACCTGCCTGAACACCGAGGTGAAGTGGCCCGCCTTCCCACTGAGGTACAGCAGGTGGGCAGAGGGCTACGAACTGCTGGAGCCGCTCTCCAGGCTGCTGCCGGCCAACCGCAACGTGCAGTTCAAGCTCAAAATGCAGGGCATATCCAAGGTGCTGGTGCAGGCGGGGGACACCTACACACTGACCCTGAGCAGAGACGGCTTCTGGGAGGGAACCTGCAACACCGCGGGGTGCACGGAGCTCTTTGTCATGGTGCACGAGAACGCCAACCACGGCTACTACTCACACATCCTCAAGTACGACGTTGAGACGCAGTAATGCCTCCTCTTCGTTCCCAGACTCTCCTGCACCACCCAACGCACCCCAAAACCAGTACAGCTTTAGGAGATCGTTCGTTCTCCCAAGCAAAGTTGTTCCTTTGGCGTCTTCCTGCAAGACCAAGGCCTCAGAGGAGTACAGAGAGAGAAAATCCCATTACAAAGGGATCAACCCCCCACCCAAGTTGCAGTAGCACTGCCCAGGCAACGCTTTGGAGAAACCAGTGGCCATCTGGCCTTGGGCCTTCAGCAGCAATGGCTGCTTTCTAAACTATGGACCATAAGAGAAGTCTTATTACGACTACTTAGAGTAGCACCCTCTGGTTCTGAGCAGCACTATCGGACACGGGGAATTTCAGGTGATTTAAGCCAGGTTTCTTTAGACATCCCAGGAGAGAGAAGTGTTGGGAAGGAGATATAAAGCGACGTTTTCTTGTGCACTTCATTGTCTTACGCATTTTAGTGATACTGCGAAATGACTTCTTACACCGAATCTTAAATTCAATAAACAAAATAATTTTTACCTTTTTATATTAGAGCATTTGAACTGTAAGCACTTTTTTTTTCCTGTAATATTAGCACTGTAATCGTATCTCAAGCATAGAGGTGTTCGCACAGTTAAAAATACAGCAAGATGGAGAATAAAGCTCTTGATAACCTTTCCTTCCTCCAATTCGTCTGCGCAGAACTGGAACTGCTGAGCTCACGGGGCTGTGTGAGGCTGAGTGATGGTATGACCACATACAGCACATCCCATAACCTCCCCCTGGAGAACCATAGTGCATACAGCTGTCTGATATGGAGCTCACCAACACACCCTGTAAGGTCAACGTCTTCATACACCTCTGATGTTAGTGTGACCTGATGGACATTGTGTTTGCTCTTGGATTTACAATAAATCTGTTCTGGTTTTGCATTCTGTTTCATTGATCAAATGACACAAACTCCTCCTCGCAAAGATGCAGCATCCTGCACATAAAATGTGTGAGTTATCCCAGTACTTCCCTCATCCCCACCAACCAGGTGAGAGTTTTTCATACTTTGAGACAAGGAAGCTCCATACACGACATAGAACCATAGAGTCATTCAGGTTGGAAAAGACCCCTCAGTTCCCCAAGTCCAATCCCAGCCCACCCCACCATGCCTACATCCCTCAGTGCCACATCCCCACAGCTCTGAACACCTCCAGGTGACTGCCCCATCTTCCTGTGCAGCTGTGCAGTGCCTCACTGCTCTTTCTGAGATTGAGTTCTTCCTAACATCCAACATGACCTTCCTCTGATGCAACTTGAAGCCACCACCTCTCATCATACAATTATCTGGGACCAACCCCCAGCGTGCCACAGTCTCCTCTCAAGTATAGAGAGTTTGAAGTCCTGCCCTCCTGTGGGCTGGCACTGCCTCAGTGAGCACTGGGTGCCAGCAGTGGGCACAAAGGGAACAGAGGACATTTCCTTGCACATCGTTGCCCTCTGCCTGGTGACATCTTGGGGATCATTCCCTCCTCTCCTGCAAAGTGCTGCAGCGCTCAGACCTTGCAGTGACATGCACGTACATAGGCACAAACATTTAATACTTTAAAGGGAAAAGTGACCAAAAAGCACATTTACAGCCACAACTGCAGCATGCTGGAGGAAGGCAGAGCCTTCAGCAGCTTCAGAGACACTGCCCTGCTGCAAAGAGAACTACCACAACCAAATTGCCACCTTCGTCTTGCAAGCATAAAGCAAACATCTGGCTCAGCATCTCATCAACATCTCAGATGTGTAGAAGATTCTCTGGTGCTACTGGAAGCACGAGTTCAAAAGCAAAAAAAACACCCTTCTCCTCGTTCATTAGCAATACAGCTGGCACTCATCACAGGGGCTGTATGATGCCATGAAGGCACAGGGGAGCGCCTGCAGAACGTGGCATCCCTGGATGAAGGGCTCAGAGGCCTTGCTGTGACACCTTCCCCCAGCACAAACACAGCTCTGCCTCCTCCCCTTTGTGAGAGAAATGCACGTTCCCCAGCAGAGATGAGGAGAGCATGTCTGGCAGTATGGATAACCCACAGCCAACCCACACGGGAGCTGGGCCAGGCTCTAACCCGGCAGCTCCCCTGCAGCCAGCTGTCCTCTTTAGAACAACCTTTTACAGCTTACCCCGGTTTTTTGTCTAAACACCCCGTGACCAACAAGTCCTTACCTGAGATGTGGATGTTCCAGGAACGCCAACCTGTGGGCAGCTCTGAGCACGAACTCAGGCCAAAGCTGTTTGTAAAACACACGACCACGCGGGCAGGCAAATGACTCACTGTGTAAATGGCACAGAGAGAACTCAGGATGGATCTGAAGGTTTCATCTTTGTTCAAAGAACTGCAGAAGAAAGGCAAAATAAAAGGACGTGTTGATTCAGAAGTCCTCCACCTTTCCAATTCTGGGAGGCAGAACTGCCCAGCAAGGCACTGGCCCAGTTTTGGCATGTCAGGAAGGCTGCAGCCCGCCTGCAGGCATCACCTTGCTGAACACATCTGCCAAACCCAATGGAAAAGAACTGGAAAGTGAGGGATGCTTCTGTGCCTACATTTGTCCATGCAGAGGTTGTAAAGGCTCAGCTATGGGAAGAGTTGCAGTACACTTCTCTGGAAGAAAGGCAACTGCACAGCAAACAAGTTCTCTCACTCAATTTGTTGAGCAAGGACTCAAGGAACAGATCTTAGATGTATTCCAGTGCTGCAATTCAACCTGACTGGAAAGTGTCCAAGGCACAGCCTGGATTGCAACAGGCTGATAGCAGCCCATGGCAGCTGCAATTACCTCGGCTGGACAGATGGATCTCACTCACTCCTGTGCTCCTCTCCCATTCAATTTCATTGTCACTTCCAACCACTGTTCTTTCTTTTGTAGAAGCTGCAACCAAAATCAGAATACAGCTATTCACTTTTCAGTTATCTTGCAGTACTTCAAGCAGCACACAAACAAGATAAAGAAGCCAGATATCATACAAACAGCAAAGAGCAGATGAACCAGGAAATAATAATAATAAATTCCAGTAAGGGAAAAATAACTGGGGAAAATGCGGGTGGCCCAAAGGAAGAGGAATTCTATTTCTTGCTTCTTGAAGAACATGACTTGAGGGAAAGGATGGAAAAACTGTCTAAATTGTTCATCAAAGTTCCCAACGAGAATGCAAGATGAGCCAAAACCTTTACTATGTAAATTTGCAGGAAGAAGAAAAGGAATGTTTTTCCACTTTGCTTTATTTCAACGCTTTTACACGTATCAAATACACATAAAATACTTTACATTAAATTGAACAAATGCTTCGCTTTTAAAAACAACATGAAGTCTTTGCAGGTGGATGCACAAACATGTATCTCTCCCACAGCCTTCTAGCCCTTGGAAGCTGACCAACATGTGGTGGGGGCACATTTCCTTTCTGATCTGATGCAGGGCATTCCTGCACATGTTCTTCCCAGCATCCAGCCTGCTGACTCAGCTCCTCAAGCTCCAACAGCAATTGCTTTGCAGGTACCTCCCTCTGCTGCAGTTTGAAACCATGCAAGGAAAGCAGTGCTCCAACTGAGTGCACTTGAGGAAATGTCATTCCTGGTGTCCAAAGTGTCTCACTATCTTTTCACTCTCTTTTTTCAGTTCCTCTATGTGAGCATCCAGGCATTCCAGGATGTGCTGGGATCTCAGTTCTTCCTCTTCCAGGTATCGGGCAGCTACTGAGCCAACTGAAGATGTAGGCAGGGGGCACTGAAGAGAGAAGGGGACAGCGGGTATTTTGTTATTTCAGCTTCCAATCAGAAACACTGCCGACCAGCAAGTCACCTAACTAAACAGCCCCCTCTGAGGGCCTGCATCATTTCTATGTAATCACTTAGGATTCAGACTGGTATCATTGCTAACTCCTCCATCTCAGTTGCTCCCCACACTAAAGCACTGGGAGCTGGAGTGGAACAGAAACAGCCTTTCCAACTGTTGCTCTTCATTGGGGGAAACTGTGACCCCAGGAGGAGGATTGTTAGGAACTGGCTGCTTACCTTTAGAAACTGGACTTTCACTTCTGTCACCAGCCCCTCCACTGAAGATAACAAGAGGGTTTATGCTGTCACAGTACAATTTCTAGAGGAGGGCACAAAACTCTCTGCCCCCTCCCCAGAGGTGTTCAAGGCCAGGTTGGATGGGGCCCTGGGCAGCCTGCTCTAGTAATAAATGGGGAGGTTGGTGCCTGTGGCAGGAGAGTTGGAGATTCGCGATGCTTGAGTCCCTTCCAACCTGGGCCATTCTGTGATTCTGTGGCACTACAAACCCAGAAGGGCCCGCTCACCCAGCACCAACTCTGACTCACTAAAGTCTGCATTTTGCTCCTTGTCTTCACAAAAATCACCCTATGCAGCATCACCTCACAACAGGGCTTCCTGAGAAGAGAAGGAACTGCCAGACTGGGCGAGCACCAGGAGTCTCTGCTTCCTTTTGTTCTGTATTAATGACTTTCTACTGCAGTCCCAAAGGGAAGCACAGCCAAACTCCCATGGCAGCTCACCAAACTCCACTTCCATTCAGCTAGCAATGAACTATTCTAGATTCTTTCCTTCACAGTCAATGATTGTTCCTGCCACTCATATCACTTACCCACAACTTCTGAACTTACACAAAAATAACACTGTAAGCTAAGCTCAAATAAAGGGTTGAAGAGAAGCTTCCTGCATCGGGGCAGGCAGGTGAATTACAACAGGGCTGCTTCCCATTACAGAAAACTTGCCTGGGTGTCCCAGCAAGACAATGTAACTGGTTATTCCCCAGCCCTGGAGTCCCGTGGCTTTCTGGCCTTCTGTCAACAAGCAGGAACAAAGAGAAACAGAAAAAAGGCTGCAAACAACAAGCCAGCCTCCCTTGCCCCACAAAGCCTCCTCTCTTGAGGTTAAAGGAACTGATTTAAAGACACAGGTGCCTGACCACCAGCAGGGAGTCCCAGTTATCACCAGCAGAAACATCTGTGCTTCCTCAGAAACTGTCTTTCTCCCTTTCAGACCATATTGAGCAAAACGGAACACGTTCCCTTCTACTAAGTATCAACCCCTAGGGCTCCTCAAGGTCTGAAGTGGAGCTGTTTGCACTTCAATCCTTATTCTGCAACCTGAAGAGCTTCAGTTCAGAATTTACAATTCTCTCAGCTCCTAACATTTATTTTCTGGGCATACCCACCATCAATTTCAGCCTTGAAACAATTAAGACCTATTTTTGGTCTCAACAAGACCTACCGACTCAACAAGCCTCCTCTTACTCATGCATGAGCCTCACAGACTCTACTTTGGGTTCCCCATAAATTAAAAATAGCTGTTGTCACAGCTTCCAGTACACAGCCAGGGGGAAGAAATCTGTACAGACTGCTCATGGCCACACATCTGGAGCAAGGACCAGTACTCAGGCTTCAGCCCTTCCCATACTACAGCCCTGCTTTGACAAATTCCAGCATACAATCAGTCCTGGCGTCCCACTGCTACCTCCCCCCAACTCTTCTCTGTTCCAGTCAGTCTGCAGGCTGGTAATCACAGCAGGCATTGAGATATATGGTCTTAAATACCTCAGGCAAGAAGTGATCAAGCCCAGGTTTCCTGTATGGTGCACAAATGCTTCAGCAGCTGAGCTGCATTAAGAGGGTGGAGAAGGTGCAAATACTGCTTCCTGTTAGAAAGATCACTGACTGGGAAAATAACAACCTCTGCTTGTGCAATGAAGCACTTCTTCCAGGTTCTCTTATCAGCCGACATAAATGGTGCAAAATGCAACATGCTGACTACTGCAGTCCCATTCAGAGGAACCAAATTCACTGTAATGTGGTCCCAAACCAAAAGCTCAAACAGAATTCTGAAGCAACGAAGCAGGCCGTGGTGCACACTGATACACAGCACTACTACAGGGAGAATCATGAGATTCTGGAACTTGCTCAGTGATTGTTACAAACAAAACCTCTCCCTAGAGAGTTCTGACCAATAATTACAAGACTCCCCTTGTCCAAGCCTTACCCATCTAGCAGTGCTTTCTCCTCCCTGTTTTAGGTTTGACATATGCTTGCAGAACCACACACCACACAGACAGATCTGTCTCCTTTTGCCATAGCAGAACTCAGTTGCAATGTCAGCAGTTGAATGGCAAAATGCTTCTATAGAACTGCTTACCAAAGGTACAGATTCTTGTTCGTGATTTGACTGCTTGGATGCTCCATCTGGAAAATCTTTGCCATCATCCAGCACAAGGACCAAAGAATCTGTGCCATGGAAGGCACCTGGAGCAGGGGTGGGTGACTCCACGCAGATCTTCCTGCTGATCTGGGTGGGTAGCTCAGCAGCTTCAGGGATCACAGCTCCCATTTCAGCAGGTAAAGGCTGGATCTTCCATCCCTGATGATGCTGAGTAGTCTCGTCAGGCTTGTGATGTATTTTCTCTGTTTGTTCATCCTGTTTATGCTGTGATTCCTGAGTTGTCCTACAAGGCAGGTGTGAAAACTCAACTGATCGACAGTTTGCCTCTTACCAGCTGAATTTCAGCAAGAACTTGAACAGCAGTAACACTTAACACAGAGTTTACTGATAGGCAGTTTGGATTGTCAGAGCTCTCTCTCATTTCCATAGAACCCCCTGATGCACATCCAGTCACCAGGGAATTCCCTCACTCTCCTGCTACTGCAGATACCAAAAACTCCCATATGCACACATCCTAGAAAGGAGAAGAGCACAGCCAACTGTGCCAAACCTAATCCTTGCACTGAAACCAGCACATACTGCTTTTCTATCTACAACAGGCAGTCAAATACTAGCTGGCTTTGCAGAATGCAAAACAGCTGGGACTAAATGCTACTGCACTACTTCAAGCATAAAGGCAGATTCCAAAACAGTCCTTTTTGTTCTTCCCTGTATACTACGTGCTGGAGGAAGATGCTCTTCATAAAGCATATCATTAAGATCCCACACACCTCCATTCCTTCTGTTCTCCTTCACGGCAAGGAAACAGCATCTGTGGGTGATGCAACACTCACCTGCTCTGCACATCCCTGGGCTCATGCTCTTCACTTTGCAACCACTGAGCAGTGCCCTCAGGCTGACTCTGGCAGACCTGGGTCGTGAGATCCAGTTTCTCCCTGGCCTCTGATAGATCCTTCTTCAGCTGCTGGTTCTCTGATTTTAATTTGTTTAATTCCAAGACATAATCTTCACTGAGTGCTCTCAGGGTGGCATCTTTTCCCTAACAGAGAAGGGCTGATGTAGAACGTAGCTTTTGCAAGATATCATAGACAAATCCAGAGCAAAGTCTGGCAAGTGATTCTTTAAAGCATATTCTATAATCCCATTTTTGACTGGCAAAATTTTCACAGCTTTCATAAGAACTAATCAATTATAAAGGCCTTATTGTGTCTGCACTGAGACAATATGTTCATCTGCCTAGGAAAGGAAATCCCTATCGTTGCTGGCTGATGCTTTTAACAAGTCATGAAAATATGAGCTACTCAGATGTAGTTCTCACTCATTATCCAAGGCCAGAGGCAGATACATGGCCTTGAGTACTCTCCCAGCTGTATTTCCAGGGTTCTCTCACTTTGTTATGATGGAAACTGTCAGCCTAGGCTGGGAACACTCAGGTGACACCCCAACAAACTGCCTCAGCCTGAGCAGCAACCCAGACAGAAGAACAGCAAGCTGTACCAGGTACTTCCTAGGGGTGTGGGGGAACACATACCCCACTGGTTTAGCTGCTGCTGAGAAATAACCACTCTCTCTGTGAACAGCTTGCTCCCCACCTTCTCCTTCCTAGGCCAGGTGGGTATTGTTGCCTTACTTCTATCCCTTTAGCAAAAGGCCTCCCAGCAGGAGGGCAAGGGACACACTCTCATCCCAGAAATTACGAGGTCCTGAGTGGTTACAGCCTGTAGCTCGGAAGGACACCAGAGATTCAGAGTTGAATTCTTGAGGTAGACAGGCACGAAACAGAAGTGCACCGAAAGTGCACAGTGAGAGGTCTGGGCCAAGAGAATGACTGCTCCCAGGTTGGGGAACCACAATGCTTTCCACCCCACGTGTACCTCCAGCACACCCAGCTCCACCTTTTCCAGCATCTCCGAGAGGTGACGGTTCTCCAGCTTTAAGGTCTCCAGCTGCACTAGAATCACCTAAAGAAACACAGAGGCAAACAACAGCTCAGAAAAAGAACATCATGTGCACATTTCCCACCCTCCATTCAAGTAAAAAGCACACTTTCAGCCATTATTCCTGCACCAGCACAGGGAGTACCAAACAAGTAACCGTGCACGCTCATTCATTTAGCTTCCAAAGATGCCATCATCCAGACCTATTTAATGTGAGCAATCTCAAGAGCTCAGCAGGGCTGCCTGTCACAGGTTTGAAAAGACAGATCCACCACCACTCAGAAGATCTCACCAGAAGGCTCTCAACGTCTTTGCTTAAAGGCTGCAGACAGAAAGGAATTATGAACACAGCAGGGCAGCATTACAAGCCCTCAGATTCCTTGAGGAGACAGCACACAAGCCTTTGGCTGCTTTTACCCTGTGCTCCACTGCTTTCCTCTCTGCTCTTTCAATCTCCATCCTCAGCCGCTGTTCTAGGTCTGACGTGGAGCCGCCTGCAGAGGCAATGGTGATGTCCCTCTGGTGTAATTCCTGTGTTAACCTCGAGATCTCCTTTCTCATCCCTTCCAGCTCACCTCTGTGAATTTGTTCAGCCTGAGAGAGCTGCTCTTTCAGCTGGAGGAAGATGTAAAAGATGCTTCAGCAAAACAGGGAAAGCGTTGGGCACGGTGACATAGAATCGCAGCGGCGGAAAGCAAAAAGCTCTATGCAAAAACCCCTTTGCACATGTATGTCCTTCCTGAGAGCCACTTCATCCCAGTCCCTTTCCATACCATACACAAGGCTGCACGCTGTGGAAGACTGAGCAGCCCCCCAGTCAATGAAATTGCAGTCCCCTGAGCCAACCATTCCGCAACCAAAGGCCCAGGACCTTCCCTGGGGACGTGCAGTAACACTTTCATAACACAAATGAGCAGTCTGCCATGCTGCCTTCCTAAGGCAGAGATGATATCTTTAAATAGCCTTGGCTTGACCTTTCTTATTTGAATTTGTCCAAATGCTTTTGATTCAATAGTAGCTTGTAGCAACTAAAGCTGCCCTTGGCAAACGTCCACAAGCTAGCTATGCACAGGGTAAAAATACACCTCTTTGTTTTCCTAACTCCATTTGATGACCACTAGTCCCCGTATTATGAGAGAATAATCATTCTCTATTTATGTTCCACATGATAGGCACGGCTTTATTTTTAGTACATTCAATCTCATTTATCTCTTTTCCAGTTTGGTAAGTCCTATTCCATTTGGCTCCTTGTACAAGAACCACACCATCCTTCTGGTCATCTTTTTCCACCTCTTGTTTTATTAAATCCCTTTTGAGATACTAGACCTAAATTGCATACACCACTCTGGTAGGAACACCAAATGTTTATTCAGTGCTGTAACAGAACGACAACACAGAGTAGTTTCTTCCCTAATATTCTACAGCACCAACCAGAAATACCCAGCACCCAAACCTCCAGGATTCTGCTGAGAATTACAATTATTTTAGAAAACTGAAGTAGATGATCTCTGTAGAGATCCATGTAAATACCACATGGTGATTTGTGTCCATGCCACCTCAATGCCTCCCAAGCAGATAGAACAGAACAACAGTAACAAATCTCTTTGCTCTTCACAGCTTGTAGAAGATTAATCAATTGGGTGAATGTTCCAATGCGCAGCCAAGCACACATCTCAGGCAGGATCTGCACCTCTGCACATTCAGAACAAGGGATGAAAGACTTCCACAAAACCAAGGTTTTGCTCAAGTCCCAGCTCCTCAATTCACACACAAACAAGAAGATAATTTGAAGCCATAGCTCAAGTAGGATGGGATGTGTTACAGCGGAACATATTTCTTCCCTGCTCCTCTTTGAGTCCAGAGCCTGCAGAAGGCTTAAGCTCAGTAATCCAGGCCTGACTTTGCACAGTTTCCCCTCCAGCATCAGTTTGAGAACATCCAGCTTACACAAAGCAACCTGCACAGCCATGCACGAAAACTTGTGAAACCTCTCCACCTCCCCTCGGCCAGATCTGTTCCCTACCCTCCCCACATCACCCCTGGCCTTGGCTCCCATCCACGCTTTGCTAACAGGGTGCTGCAGCCTCTTTGAGGCACACGATGCTCACGGGGAACTGCTGACTCCACGAGTGCCTTTCCCACTCCCCAGGAACAAAGTGATATTACCTTTTTAATCTCCGCCTTTGACTCGCTACGGTGCTCTTCCATTGACTGCAGCTCTTTGATACTCTCAGCCAGCTCTTCGCTCAGCTGTACACACCTTGCATTTGAAGACACCAGGCTGGGTGCCAAATGTAAAACTACAGGTTAGAATACCCCAAGAAGGAGAACATGGTCGGGAGGAACTTTGATCTCCCAAGCAGTCTCTCATGTCATAACTGAAACTGGACTCTAACCCAGACATTCCCTCGCAATCCTTTGGGCTTGTGTACCAAAATCCTTTTAAAAGGGATGGGGATGCTGATTTAATAGATACAGTGGTTTCTCATATGTTTCTTTGTCATAATGAGATTACCAGCTTCCCATGCAGACATCTGCCTGAAAACCACCAACTCAAAGAGGAAAACTCGCTTCTAATTCTTATTTCACGGGTTTAGATCAGGTTCTTACAAGCTGCCTGACAAAGAATCCATAACCTATTACAAATGAAGGTGCTAAGCCTAAGCAAGCCAAAACCCTGAAAACACCCACAGCATGCAGTGAAAAGCAGCCAGCCAATTAGCAAAACAGTCTCACTATTAAACTCCAAAATGAATAGCATTTGATTTCTTTCGCCCTTTGATATTTTAAATAAGCCTACAAAAAAAAAAAAAAAAAAAAAAAAAATCAGAGAGACTGCTGAACCTGATGAATACAAAACATTGGGCATTACATTGTTATCCAGGTTTCATTGCAGAGCTGGGGGAAGCGAGCAGACTGCTACCTGTCCTCCAGGTGAGTCACCTCTGCCTGCAACTGCTGCTCCTTCTCCTGGGCAACATCCAGCTGCAGGAGTACATGCTCCAGCCCTGGAGAAGACAACTGCTTCTCCTGCAAGCGTTCCTCCAAGGCCCTAAGCAGAAACAGGAAATCTAAACTCAATACAAAAACATTATGCCTGATTCAATTTCCATTGAATTACCTGAAAAGCCCACAAAGCCTAACACTCAGGAACACCGGCGTGCACTGTGAGTACATGATGTGCACAGTGTTTTGATGTTGGTCTCCCTGAAGCAGACAGTTTTGCTGCCGTTAGCAGCCACCCAGCAAACACTTGCAAGCAATGATGCAACTGTTGGGGAGCACACAGCACCACGTGTTGACACAGCCACTGGAACTCTCTGCACTCTGCATACTGCCAGTGCAAAAGGTGAAAGCGAGGTGATTTTCTCACCTATGAGGTCACCTCACCCAGGCCCTAATGTTTCATCATTCATTCAGTGAGAACTTTCACAGACATTCCTAAGCTCAGTGTCAAGTCCTGAAAGTGCCCCAGCACTCAGGTGAAATGGACAAAAGGCCTGCACACAAAAAAAACCAGAAACCATGCTTAATATCACCATGCTGCCCCCAGGAACCTCATGGGGTAGAAAGCTAATTCTTTCTAAACACTTCACTGAGAGTCAGTAGATTTCAAGAGCAATGCAATTTACCAAATGCTGTGAGGAAGCACAGCACTTGTGAAAAGCATCAGTGCACTACGCTGGGCATCAAGCAATACAGATCCAACTCTATGAAAACGCTGCTTGTGTCCTCAGTGGGAGAACCTGACACACAAATCTGGACACGAGAGCAAAAGCATGAATGCTACCTGATGAGGATTTCCTTTGTGTGAAGAGTTTCAGTCACCCTGGCCAGCTCTTTTTGCAATTGCTCCTGGTGCAGCTTGGAGCTGTCAATGAAATCCTCCTGAGACTGCAAGGTGGCTCTGAGCTCCATCTTCTCATCCTGTAACACCTGCACAGGAGGAAGAAATGGCTGTTGCAGGGTTTGTTGTAGATTGGTTTGTTGTTATGAGATGCTGAACAGATTTTTAAGGAACCCTTGCAAGCACTGCAGAGCACCACATGGCTACAGAGGCATCTTTGAGGTGAATCAGGAACTTTACAAAGGCTCACTGCTTCACATTCAGCTTCTCAACAATTCCTTCACTGACCTCGAGCATTTTCTTGGATTGCCTCAGTTCTTCTTCAACTCTCTGCTGGTCTTCCAGAATCATGCGATTGTTTTCAGTCAGATCATCCACCCTCATGTTAAGCCTCTCCACCTCCAGCTCGTTGGCACAGACAGCATCGTTGGCTCTCTCCAGCTTGCTGGTTAAGTGCTGGATTTCTGATCGGCTCGCCAGCTCCATCGACTCCAGAATCTGCTTCCGACTGGCAAGCTGACTCTGCTAACAGCAAGTGGCTTGCATTTCATATTTGTACAAAGGTATTAAGGCAAAATTATAGATATTACAGCACACCAAAACTCTGTGCAGAAAAGGCACCTGTTTCTTGGAGCAACAAGTCACACTTTCACAAGAAGCCTGACTGTCTGCCCTCCAGGGAATTAGGGAAGCAGTGCTCCAGGGCCACGAGGCAGGGAAAGCTTCCGAAGAACAAAAAACCCAAGGGGCCCCTCTGATTCCAAAAGGGGTTCAAAGAGGGCCTCTGAAAAGAGGATCACAAATCACCCAAGCTGTCCAACCATGAGCTAAGGACAAACTGCTTGTTGTTTTCTGCACATTAACCTAAGGCTGCACCAGCACAGAAGGTTTGCAAATACCATAGAATGGCCTGGGTTGAAAAGGACCACAATGATCATCTACTTCCAGCCCCCTGCTGTGTGCAGGTCACCAACCAGCAGCCCAGGCTGCCCAGAGCCACATCCAGCCTGGCCTTGAATGCCTGCAGGGATGGGGCATCCACAGCCTCCTTGGGCAACCTGTGCCAGTGCCTCACCACCCTCTGGCTGAAAAACTTCCTCCTCATATCCAACCTAAACCTCTCCTGTCTCAGTTTAACACCATTCCACCTTGTCCTATCACTGTCCACCCTCATAAACAGCTGCTCCCTCTCTTGTTTATACACTCTCTTCAAGTATTGGAAGGCCACCATGAGGTCTCCCTGGAGACGACACACAAGATGACCCAGTCATTACCTCCACACCAGGTCAGAAAGCAATTCCTGGTGCACAGGGAGGAAAAAAGCCCCACCAAGCAGATGAAACCCTGAACTGGGTGCAACCACTAATTATGCTTTGCTTTATGCAATAAAATACATCCTTCCGACAGCTTGCTTCAATGCTCACTTTGAATGTTTAATTGTTTTAATGGCAGACAAAAAAAAAAAATCATAGTTATAAGGAATGCCTGCCTAGCAAACAACGCATGCAGTATTATTTACAAGCACAATGCTTTATTTCATGGCATTTCTTTCCACATAGCTGACTGGGGAAATGTAATAAGCCAGCTCTAAGAATTATTCCCTTTACCTATTCCCTTTTTGTACAGTACCTTATAATTTCTAAAGGCTGAAACAAAACATTGGAGTGGCCCTTTCCTCCCCATACCTAAGAGCAGCGATTCCTGCTGGCTTCAGAATCGCCCCTTGTCTGACACACAATGCCTCACAGCTGAGCAGACTGCAGGAGCACTGCCTTTGGAAGGCTGTGGTATAATTTGGATTACAGCCTTTTCATTATTTGAATAGTCATGACAGAAAACGTAATCAAGAAGGGGCAAGAGTTCAGCACACAGCCCAATGAGACGCCGTGGCACACGACCTGAGCATTTATTTCTGCATTAAGGAGACACTTCAGCAAGCCCTCCTTTCCAGGCACAGGACAGCACAGAAATCAAGGTTACCCCGTGGACTTGGAGGACTGTGTGTATTGCATGGAGGTGCTCAGCCCTACCTGCCACTGCCATAGGCAGCAATGACAGGCGTGAGGAAAGCCAGGTGAAAGATGGGAAGTGCTCCGTGGTCACAGATCTCAGCTTGACCTCATGCCAGAAAGCAGCCAGACATACAAAAATGCACTGAAACATCCCAGAGAAGAATGGAGTATTCTCACACTGGGATTCTCAAAGAAATGGAGGGCTCAGGCAGTCTGCTCATAGGGACCGTGCACCTAACTTACCTACGCTGCTAAGGAAAAACCACCCCAAATTTCTGCTCTTCTGCTAAGCAGTCGGTTCCTCTGTGCTCCACGATAGCAGCCCACACTCCAAGGACACATCTGCTCTCAGACAATTGAGCTATCAACGACACAAAGACAGCAGAGCAGCAAGACCTTCTGCTCAGTGACTCTGCATTGTAGATCTGCTGGTGTCAGCCTCTCACAAAGCCCCTGTCAGAGCCCAGCTTCAGCCCTGCCATCACACACATCCTCCTTGCAGGAGCTCCTACTCAAGAGCAGCTCAGCAGCCCATTAAGTGTGAAGCCCCCAGCAAGAGGTTCTTATCAGTGCCTGCTGTGATTGTGGCAGTGTGATGGCACAGCTGTGCTCTCAGTCAGTTCACCTGGCTCTGCTGCAGCACCACTAGCTCACCCAACGACCAGCTTTTCAGGGATGGCAGCCCCACTGTTCCTTGTTTCCAGGAGATGAAAAAGAAAGGAAAGGAACAGGACTGAAAATTGCTGTTAATTCTGCACTTTGTGGAAGTATTTGCCATTGGGGAAGGCTGTTTTTCAACCCCGTGCTCTGAGCTGGACACAGAAGGTACATTTTTAGCTACTGGCAGGTAAACAGCTTCAAACTAAACAACCTGATGGAGCAGCTGCTTTCAAACATCATATGCTGTGGTCTCTGGCTCTCAGGGAAAGCTCCATCCTACGGTCTTCTCTGCTAATTGGAGTGGGGGAGTGAGAGCAGCAAGAGGTTTACCTAACTTCTGTTGACAGCCTCCAGATCTTTTTTCCACACAGCACTTAGACACGTAAAGCTTATTCCATTGGGACGTTAAAAGTCATTTCAATGGCAACCTAAACTGGATTCGAGCCTGAGAGATTTCATTAGTCTCTTCCCCCCTCCCTGCCCTCCCACCTGCTGCACAAACAGAACAGAAACTTTCAGCACATATTAACCGTACCTGAATGAGCTCAGACTGCTCAGCCAAAGCCTTCCTCTGTGCTTCCAGTGATGCCACCTGCTGCTGGTAGAGCAAACGCTGCTTCTCCCAGTCAAGGGATTTTTGACGGAACTCCTGCAAGGACAGCAGGGATGGCTCAGAGCAGCACATCCACACAGCTGACAAGACTGCCCCCTCCCAGCTCGTACCCATGTTTGCTCTCCCTCCCTTCCACATCCTCACACACCTTTCCTTGCAGCAGGGAAGCCATTAACCAGCCATCCGATGCACCGTCTCAGCAGCACAAATCCCCTCTCACACTGTGCTCAGTGCTGCGTTTCCCTCCCTCCCAACTTAAAATATCAGTGTCAATTATGGCTGTTTACAGACGTTAAGTGCTAAAAGGCTCACAGTTCCTCACTTGGGTTTGCTGTCAGAGGTTTAGCAACACAGACTGACTTTAGCTTGCAAAACAGGCCATCACTGGAATCACTGGCAACCACTAACTGCAGAGCTCCAATGCTATCCTCAGCTCCAGTAAGTGGATGCTACATCTTATCCATGCCTCTGTTAGCCTTGTCTAGAGGTACACTGGAGAAAAACGGAGCCTGGTGAAGCTCAGCACAGCAGGGAGATTAAAGGACAAGACATGACTGAGAAGAGGTTTTGTTTGTAGCTCCTCCTCCCTCCAAGAAGTGAGATGACAACCTCACCGCATGGGAATTCATTCCACTCACACAATTAATTGCTCTTCCAGCACTTTCTTCCTTTTACTCAAAACTGAAGAATAAGAACTGCAAAACAGTTTACCCTGTGTACTTAGAGGCTCCAGTGCAGGAAATAGTCTTTATGACACAAGCAATTGAGGAGAGCTTCACCAAGAGAGTAGGTGAAGAGTACCGCTGGACCAGGATTCACGGTGCACTTCCTAGTTGTCTGAATAGAGTCACCCAAAATAGTGAAGCCCAAAAGTCAGCTCATGCATACGAACCAACTAGCAGCTGCTTCCCCATCACCTACCTCCAGCTTCCTGCTCAGTCGGCTCATTTCAAACTGGTCGTCCCCTTGCCTCTTGTTGGCCTCTTCTCTAGCATCTCTCAGCTGTTTCTTCTGCAGCTTCTCATAGCTTCTCCTCAGCCTAGCCAACTGCAAGAATTCAGTGAAAAGGGCAACTTTGTTCAAGGCCAGCGGGCAGGAATTAAACAGCACACTGAAGGAAGGCAAACAAAACAGCTTCACGCAAACAATTCCCCCAATCAAGGCCACACAGCTTGCAAATGAAGATTTCTATTTGTATAATGAGCCTATTATACTGATAGGATCACAAAATACGCTGAGTTGTATAAGAGGAGCAGGATCCACGCTGAAGTCATGACATCAGCAGCTCCAATTAGACCTCTGTCTTATCACAATGGGAGCATGACTGAAATATTGATAAGATGGAGGCCTATATGTAGCTGTTAACGTGGCATCTCCTCTCTCTACAGTTGGCTCCAAGTGTCTGTAGCAGCAGCAGAACCTGAGGTCCATCTCCTGGTGCCAAACACAGGGGCAGTTCTACATTCTTTGAGGTTAAAGTGAAGCTCAGGTGAGAACTGGAACTCTCCCACTCGGCAGGAGAAGGAAGATTTGAGAATTGTCATTATACATAATATCAACACTACTTCATCTGTCATCCTCTCCTTAGATACACGACGTATTTCACAATAAGTGGAAAATGCCAACAGAAAATAACACTCCTACACCTCCTGCTAGAATGCTAAACTCTTATCAGAAGCACAAATGAGGAAAAAACAACCAACACTTAAATGACCCTCTGTGCAAACCATCACTTGCAACTTCCACATACTTCTCCATCTGTTGAGCTCCCCAGCTCAACTATTTAAACAAGCTAAGTTTCCAAACGGTCACTGTGAACCTCAGAAGACATCATCCCCAATTTGGGAACCGACGGAGAACTGACATCTCAATCAAGACCTCATGACCACACCGTGGTCAGGAAAGGTTCTCCAGGGTCCTGAGTCAGCAAGGTGCTTAAGCACATTCATTGGGAATGGACAGAACGTGTTTTGCCAAATGAGTCAGGAGATCACAAGAACTGGTTTATTCTTTCAGCAATCTCAGACAGGTGGACACTGGACCTGTAATTTTACTGGTAACGGTGGTAAACTGAGATAGAAACAATTTCCCCAATTAGTGCTAACAACAGACTAAGGAATAGTGCAGCTTAATGCCATCTGCATGAATACTTCATGGGTAAAACACAAGTGCACAGCAATTTCAACCACAAGACACACACTATATTCTAGCCATTGCAATTTAGGCTGATCTGGCCAAAGCACCTTAGCCTTGCTCTGCAGCCTATCCACTATTTCAGTGGGAACATCTCCTGTTAATCACACTGAGCAGGAAGGTGTTGTAAATGAGGACAGATGCCTTCTGTCACCAAAGCTGAGGCTACCAAATTAATTTAAGTTATGGCTTACAGTGAGCATGAACCAAGCTGAACTCTCCAGGGAGAAAAGGTCAGTGCTCTGCTGGCTGCTCATGCCTCTTAACTCACTGCTTCTGACAAGCAAGCGGAGACAGGCAGAATGAAGGCACCAACATGGAATGCTGCTGTTCCACCTGCAGGACACTGTGTTTGTACCACCTTGAGGGGAACAGAGCTTGTCGAGATAGAAGCTCTGAAATCACTTTTTTCAAATTATTCTCCGAGCATTCTTAGGTTGCTTTGTTTTTTAAGGCTGATTTGCTTTGAGAGAACAGAGGCCCCTTCAAACAAAATCACACTCAGTGGAAGCAAAGTGATGACGAGGCTGCATTCCGATCTGATCTCAGTTTCTCCACAGAATCAAGGCCGGTTCCACCACCACCCATTTTAATTTAAGGAAGTGCTGAAGGAGCAAACTGCTGCTGCCTGTACCCATAGCAACTTCCATACAAGCACTGTGGTGACTACGCTTGGCAAACAGAGGAAGTTTTTGCACTAAACCTCTGCAGATGTCTAACGTATGAAAACTGCAACCTTAGAACATATTCTTATTCCTGCAGATTTCTTCGTCACCACGTTCCCCTGACGTGCCAAAAATAGGGCCAGCAAAGCACAAAAACATCACTTTGTGCTCAGTGCTCTCTTCTGTAAGGGCAAAAACACCAAAAGAATGGGAAGCTTTAAAACCATGACACTTAAGCAACGGCAACGATGCCAAGCATTTCACCTACCTGATCACATATCGACTGGGATCTAAAAACCAACCTTCCCTTTTTGAAACTTACCTCCTCTTGAAACTTCTTCAGCTGCTGCTCGTATTCCCTAACCAAGTCCTGTTTGGCTGTCTCCATGTCTTCCAGCTGCTGCCGTAACTTGCCAACCTGAACCAAGAATTAAAAAGCGGATGAACAGAACGCAGACAGATTTCACTGGCTGTAAAATAGAGGGATTAGTCTTCATTTCATAAGTATACACAGTAGTGGAAGTGGTAAATGAATGTTAAGAGGTCCCAGTTTCCCAAGCTGGGGTCAGTCCTTTTGAAACAAATTTAGCTTATGTCCACATCTCTGGTTGGCTGGGATGAGAACTGCCTCAGTTCTGGCCTCGTGTTTTCAACCAGTGCCTGATTTCCACTTGTTGAGATGAAGCTGACACTTTTGCCTTGCTCCAAGAGGTTGCTTTTCTTTGTCATTTTCATCAAAATGTTTATTATAAACATCCATTATGATTTCAAACTACCTACCAGGAGAAGAGATGGCCATGTCATTCTCTTACCACAGTTAGATGAAGCAGAGATTCCAAATAATGCATGGACAAAGAAAGAAACAGTGCTTTGAAACTCTTGGGAAAGACTTCCCTTCTCTTGATCCAAATCCTCTTATTCCCCTTCTTTTTTCCCCTCACCCTTTTCCCTTTTCCCATCCACGACCCAAAGTAGTCACCTTTCTAACTGCAGGTCCAGAACACAGTGAGCCAATAAACAGGCAGCACAGTAAAGTCAGAAGAAATCATCAGTGAAAATTCATATGAATAAACCAAGAGTACGAATATAAAAAAGTTAAAAGCAGCAGTGCTTTTAACCATAATGCACAATTTGGAAATCAGCGCTCACTTCTGGTGGTAAAATGTACCACGGGAGGCTCCTGCCTTACTTAGCACAGCTGTTTGCTGATCTTAACTCTTTGCTTCAGCTTGACATTTAAGCAAACACAAAGAGAAGGACAGTTTTCACACAGGGTGGTGAGGCACTGGCACAGGTTGCCCAAGGAGGCTGTGGATGCCCCATCCCTGCAGGCACTCAAAGCCAGGCTGGATGTGGCTCTGGGCAGCCTGGGCTGCTGGTTGGTGACCTGCACACAGCAGGGGGTTGAAAATGATGATCATTGTGGGCCTTTGCAACCCAGGCCATTCTATGATTCTATGAAACAGCAAAAAAAAAACTAACTCAAAACTGATGAAATAGTCAGCAAACTCTGAAGTTCACGTGCAGCCTTTCTGTACCTCTTTATGCTTTTCCTCCAGCGCAGCCCTGGCAGAGGAAAGTTCCTGCTCTCGAACACCCAAGCAAGCTTCCAGCGCCTGGGTCTGTCCCTCCCATTCCGCCTTCTTGTGAGCCACCATGATGTCAATCTGCTTCATCAGCTCCTGCAGCTCAGCTTCACAGGACGTCAGGAACCCACTGCGGAAGGGAGCGAGCTTCAGGTCACAAAGAGGAGCACAGAGGTCCCGCATCCCCACACCAATGATGCCAGTGATTGGTGTGGAACATCACCGGGCAGAGACCTAAACTTGGCAGTGACCAACGGGGCATGCTTTGGAAACCACAGTCAGAAGAAATGGCCCCCACGCTTTCACATGTAGTGTGTTTTGTCTTCTAATGTCACAGCAAGCCCCCATGACCACTGGTCCAAATGCCTTGCATTACCTAAGTAAACCACAACGCGTTCTGCCCATATTTTGCATTGCCCCTAATTGCTCTCCAGGCACGGGCATTTTATGCCCACTTTCAGTCATCAGAGAAACCTCTCAGCTCCTGAAAACAAAGGTGTATCACAAATGCAGACAAACCCCTAAGTGGAGGGGGTTGGATGACAACATGATAATGAAGAATAAAACATCCTCGATCCATTGGGGAGAGCACGCTCCCTCGCGATGCTGCAGCTTCTAATTTGGTGCAGTAATTATTGAAGCCAATTCAACCAACTCCTGTAAAACTTCACAAGTGCTAAGCTAGGGACAATATTAAGGCTTGCAAGATACAGCCCTGGAGGGCTGTGAACTCCATGATGATCTTCACCCCTTTAATTTGACTGTCAAATGGAAGGCTCTGGAAAGGAGTGGAAATCAATAGGTTAAGGGATTGAAATTTCTCTGCTCCCCCAGAGCTTACGCAGACTTCACAAGCTGACAGTTTTTCTATAGGGAAAGAAGTAGCTCTTACAGCAGCCAAAATCAGTTAAATTGGAAGTTCACCCTGGCCTGCGAGTTAACCAAAAATTAGCAGCTATTATGCACAGCAAGAACATTTCCTTCTCAGCATCTGCTGATACACAGCTATGTCTAGACTGCATTTATGCAGCCAGTTAGCTGTAGAAGATGCAGCACTGAGTCACATTCTCAAAGATAACGATGAAAATGGTGTCAGTGTCTTTGGTTTCGTGTATAAATAAAGCATTGTTATTCCATTACTGGCACTGCAGCCTCTCTCTGGGATCTCCAAGTCCAGAGGCCTTCACCTAAGGGCGCCTCAGGGACAAATGGGTGTCTGCAGCTCCAGCACAAGCAGGAAGCAACCAGGCGCTCTCAATACAAACACGTCTCATTAACCTCACTGGGCTCTTAAGAATAGTATTTATTCACACTGCTACTTAGCGTCATTCCTGATGCTACAAGGCAAGAGGGGGAAAATGAACGGGTAATGTTTTTAGAGAGGCGAAACACGGAGACGCTAACACTACAGGCTGCAAGGCGGCGAGGGATCGCTGCAACGTGCAGAAGCAGCCGCGGTGCTGCGGCCACTGCGTGCTGCACCGTCCGCCTGCAGGAGGTAGCAGATGAACACCAAGGGCCTCACTGACACCAGGAAGCTTGGCAGAAGGGTGGCTCGCGTAGAGCATAAGAAGGAAGCCCTACACGGAGAGCGTTGTAAAGGACTGGCACGCACTCGTGCATACGTACCTCCCCTGGCCATTCCTCTGCATTCCCGCCAGCAGAGCCTCCATCCCCCAGCGCCGGTGGGTTCAGCAGCGGGGAAAGCACGCAAAGCAGCGGTCACCACCGCATCCGCGGGCAGCGGGAGGGGAAAGGTGGGGAAAACGCACAACGCCACGAGAAGCGGGCAGAGGCACGAAGTGACGGGGCAGACAAATGCTTGGTTGCTACAAGAAGGCTCTGCGCCGGGGGCACCGGGCACACCGGGGCACCGCGCCCGCTCGCAGAGCGCTGCCGACCGGGGCGGGGAGGGCACGGCGGCGGCCGGTGATGACGGTGGCGGCGGGCGCCGGAACACCGCGGCGGGATGGGGCGGAGCGCTGCTGGCCGCTCCGAGAGCGTTGGGCCGCCCGAAGAGCCGCGCGTCCCCGCGAGCCGGGGGTTGGGAGGGGTACGGAGCTGCCTCGGAGGGAGAGGATGGACAGCGAGGTGCAGAGGGACGGCCGCATCCTGGACCTGATCGATGACGCGTGGCGGGAGGACAAACTGCCGTACGAGGACGTGGCCATCCCGCTGGTAGGTGCGTGGCGGTACGAGTCCTCCCAGCACATAACGGCTGGGCTGTCCCGAAGCTGCCGGGGTCACAGAATCACAGAATGGCCTGGGTTGAAAAGGACCACGATGCTCTTCTCGTTCCAACCCCCTGCTGTGTGCAGGTCACCAACCAGCAGCCCAGGCTGCCCAGAGCCACATCCAGCCTGGCCTTGAATGCCTGCAGGGATGGGGCATCCACAGCCTCCTTGGGCAACCTGTGCCAGTGCCTCACCACCCTCTGGCTGAAAAACTTCCTCCTCATGTCCAACCTAAACCTCCCCTGTCTCAGTTTAAAACCATTCCCCCTTGTCCCATCACCGTCCATCCTCACAAACAGCCGTTCCCTCTCCTGTTCATACGCTCCCTTCAAGTACTGGAAGGCCACCATGAGGTCTCCCTGCAGCCTTCTCTTCTCCAAGCTCAACAAGCCCAGTTCCCTCAACCTTTCCTCATAGGGAGGTGCTCCAGCCCTCTGCTCATCTCAGTGCCCTCCTCTGGACCCCTCCAAGAGCTCCATGTCCTTCATGAGCCAGCAGTGTGCTCTTGCAGCTTGGAAAGCAAATGGTAGCCTGGGCTCCATCAGAAGAGGGGTGGCCAGCAGGGGCAGGGAGGTGGTTGTACCCCTCTACTCAGCTCTTGTGAGGCCCCAGCTGCAATACTGCATCCAGGTCTGGAGCCCCCAGTACAAGAAAGACAGGGAGCTGTTGGAGAGGGTCCAGAGGAGAGCCACGAAGATGATCAGGGGGCTGCAGTACCTCCTCTATGAAGACAGGCTGAGGGAGCTGGGCTTGTTCAGCCTGGAGAAAAGAAGGCTGCGGGGTGACCTCATTGCAGCCTTCCAGTACCTAAAGTGAGCCTACAAACAGGAGGGAAATCAACTCTTTGAAAGGGTAGATAACTGCAGGACAAGGGGAAATGGTTTTAAGTTGAGGGAGGGAAGATTTATGTTGGATGCCAGGGGAAAATTCTTTACAGAGAGAGGGGTGAGGTGCTGGAACAGCTGCCCAGAGAGGCTGTGGATGCCTGGAGGTGCTCAAGGCCAGGTTGGATGGGGCCCTGGGCAGCCTGGTCTGGTGTTAAATAGGGAGGTTGGTGGCCCTGCATGAGGCAGGGGAGTTGGAGATTCATGATCCTTGAGATCCCTTCCAACCCTGGACATTCTGTGATTCTGTGATTCCTGTACTGGGGCCCCAGGCCTGGACACAGTACTGCAGATGGGGCCTCAGAAGAGCTGAGTAGACGGGGACAATCACCTCCCTCTCCCTGCTGGCCACCCCTTATTAATGCAGCCCAGGATACAGTTGGCATATTTGTCTTCCTAATCACTTTTCCAAATGCACCTTTGCAGTTGTCACTTCAAGGACAGCAGTAAACACACTGCTCTCTGCAGGTAGGATTCCCTGCCTGTGAACCCTTCGCCATAAAGAGACATGGCAGCCATAGAATCATTGAATTTCTCAGCTTGGAAAAGACCTTAAAGATCATCGAATCCAACCACAACCAAACCATCCTACCATTGCACAGCTGTACCACTGCTAGGCCCCTCTTCAGCCATTTGGGAGCACTCCATGGATACGGATGTATGAGAGGATCCTCCCCTTGTCTGTTAGCACAGGCGTAATTTGGCTAGCACCAACGAAGTAGTCATGCCAAAATCATGGCATCTGATAAGCTGATGGTTTCTGCCAGCAAAGAGACACTTCCAAATTGCCAGTGACATCACTTGGGCTTTAGTCCTTACATCACAGCGTGTCATCGCTCTTGGAAGAAGTGCAGCTCGGAACCTTCTCAGAGGAGGTGAGGAGCAGCTACTGTCCTCCAAAATTGATAATACACAGCAATTCCTGCCAAGAGGGAAAGGTTTTGCAGAACTGTAGTTCTCAGGGAGGAGCACCCAGCCCCTCCTTTGCTTAGGATAATGCGTTTTTGAGGCAGGCTATGTATCACAAACCGCTTCTTTGCTGATATTTGCCATCACCCTGTGTCCAGGTTGAGAAACATTATGGCAGCCTCAAAGCAGGAAGCCTCATCAATTGACAATAAAAACAAAGGTGTAGTTGTGGATATGCAGATCCCCGGGGATGGGACTGGCTCTGATCATATGGAGAAGTCAGCACAAATTCAAGGAGGTTTGATCAGAAGCTCTGTGAAGGAGCTATCAGAATGGCTGTAAAGTGAGAGCCTATCCTGGGCATCTGATCAGTGCTCACTGCAGAGACCTCCATCAGCTGGCATGGCCCAAAGTCATTTGCTTTTCTCTGAAGGGATTTTATGTGGCTCATACTGAGATTTCCGGAGATCCAGACTCAGAATTCTTGCCCCGTGTCTTCTGGAATAACACACTTTGTGACTGCACCAATGCAGCAACACAGGGAACAAATAACGTAAGGAAGTAAAATGAAATCACATTTAAACTCTCCTTCCTCCTCCCTGCATGCTGAGCAGCCTGGTGTTGCACTTGGTGGGGGTTTCTGACATCTCCTGTTGTTACAGCACAGCCACACCAGAGTTCCACGTGTAGGAAGAGGAAGGATTTCTCACCTTGCCATAAGAAAGGGATATGTTACAAAGCCAGCTGTCTCAATACAGCTACAGTAAATGCAATATCTGTATTCTGGGCAGCGACAAAGAAACACAATCCAAACAAGCAGTGGAATAATTGCACCATGCTATTATTTACTTATTTTGCATTTTCTATATATTCTCCTTCACTGCGTGTGCAGTCTGAGTACATAGCAAGGCCCCAGGGCCCTGGAAAGCCAATTTACCTTTCAGATGAAGCATCATAATCATATGAAAAGAACATTGTTCCTCACTGGGCTTAGTAATATTTTAACTGAATCAGTATGTATGATATGTATTGTTCAGATGCCCCCTCTGGTCTCATTTGTGGATTTTTGTATTTATTCATATGAAGTCTTCGTCACCTGCTCCATTTAGGAAGCTTGTTATGCACAGAATGCTTTGTACCTTTTTTTGTTGTTCTCAGAATGAGCTCCCTGAACCAGAGCAAGACAATGGAGGTACAACGGAGTCTGTGAAAGAGCAAGAAATGAAGTGGACAGATTTGTCTCTGCAGTATCTCCATGAAAACGTCCCTCCCACGGGAAACTAATGAATCCAGGGGACTTCATGTAAAATTATATCTTCTGTTAACTTATTCTTTAGTTGCTGCCAATTCTGCTCTTAAATGTTTTCTACACGTGATAAAAATGTACTTTTGACTGTCTGGAGTTGTTCTTGCATTTCAAAACTCGGGATGGGACATTTGTGATCACGGAGGTTTTATGTCCCAAGAAATAAAACTGTGTTTTGTGTTAGAGTTTGCTATACAAAACCCAGATAACCACAGGTCAGTGGTGGCACTGGACACTGCCAGTGCTGACCTCTGTATATTTTCCAATACACATTGTTTAAACAGTGCCATTTGTGCTAAGATAATTGTTACTCAAAATCACTGTCTTTTGGCTGAGGGAAAAGCCAGCCCAGTGAGTGACAACAGCTGCTCAGATGAGCTGTCTCAGAGGGAAACCACCAGCTAAGTGAAGTGATGGGGAGAAGGAACGAGGGGAGCTTAGCTTCAGGCAACAAAAATGTTACCTCTTCTTATGCTGAGAAGAAAGGCAAGGCCCTCTTTATTTCTTTACCTCATTTTATCTCTGATTCTCAAACATCTTTTGCAATAGGTAAAAGCCTTCTGTTCATCTTGCGTGTTTCACTCTTGGACTGATTCCTTCACACCGTTGGCAGATCTCGCTAAGGAGAAAATATTTTGACAGTTTAGGACTACTGGTAGAGGTGAGAAAGAATCTGGAAGGAAAACAATATTTCAGAGTATTTTCTATTGCCAGCGCATCGGAAAATAAAGCCATTTTTCTGGAGCCCACAGCTTCCAGATTCCGCAGAAATCTTTTGGGTATCTTTTCACAACGTTTATCCCCTTCAAAATCAACAAAACCCAACGTTGACCTGTGTGAGTCGCACATGGAGCATGTCAGGTGTCCTGTGAGGCTGTGAGTGCTGAGCTGCAGGAGGATGCTCAGTTTGAGGAAAAAAACTGGGGCTGCTCCTGCCTGAGGAGTTAGCAGTGCCTGCACTGAGCCAGCACTTGCTCAACTGAACAAGAAGGAGTTGCAGGCAGCCAGCAGGCCGTTCAGGATTAACCCAAGCTTCATATGTATACAGACCAAAGCAACAGCTACGGCGCTGGGAACTGTAAAAGTTCAGCTCCTCGCTGCATCTCACCAGGGGCAAAACAGAGCTTGGGCTTAATGAGGTATTTCTGATCCTCCCCATGTTCCTCTCCCTGTAAAGAAAACACTAGAAGCTGCGTGGTGGCTTTGTCTATCTAGCAGCCATCTCTGTTTTCTCTTCCCCTCCCCTCTCTCACTCCATCACAAACTCCATCCCCATCGCACCAATTTTGCCACGAGATTTTCCAGCTCTGATTTCAGGCTTCCTTTCCCAGTCCTGACAGTTGTCCCTGCATCTGCCGTCTTCTTACTGTCCAGCAGGGAAAAAAAAAAAAGCTTTTCTCACTTGAATTGGATTCACAACGTTCAGCAGGGCTATAAGAAAACGTGGTGGGGATACCAGATATATGAACGCTATCCAAAACAGCAGCTTCTTGGCAGCACGAATTGAGTTGAGCTGGGACCTTCCCTTTGTCAGGATGGAGTGGCGCCCATCCACAGCCTGCCTGAGGCTGCAGGATGGTTACAAGGGGGTGAAAAGAGATGCTGGGCTTCCACCTGCTGGAGACAGCCGGAGTGTGGGAGAGCCAGAGGGACACGGAGGGGAGCGTCCCAATGCTACGACGTGGGGTCCTGGGAAGCTGAGTGCTGGCCCTGCCCCGATGCCTATCAGCTTTGCACACCTACGTTCTCCACTGCCTTTTGACACTCTTTGCAGAAGATGAACAGGCACGCAGCGATTTCAACACAGGCAGTCAGACCGCTGCTCACAGCGTGATACTGAGCCATTTCTGTCTTTCATTAGTCACAGCCCAGGGCGAACGATATTTAAAATAAGGGATCCTGCTACAAGAGAAGGTGCCCCACCTTTTGAGAAAGAAGGGCCAGTTGTATAACTTCACACCCGTCTTCATTTCTTGGCTGGGAGCTTCCTCCTTTCACCACACCTACATGACTGGCAGAAAAAGAGAGCAAACAGCTGTCAGACACAGCAATACATGCCAAAGAAACCACAGGACCCGTAAGATTTTCTACCTGTAGAAGTTCCATGCAGGAGCCCATATGCTGAGGCTGTGTGTCACGTTCTTCTGCCTTTTGTATGGGGTGAAAACAGGTAGGAAGTCGATCGTTTTGATTCTTTTGTTCAGTATAACGCTTACTCTGCTTTGGACGAGCAGAGAGAGAACCTATCTGCTCTCTGCATTATAAGGTTACTGTGTAGGATTTTTAACTAGCATTGGTTGTCTTAAAGCAAACTGTCTTGGTTTTGTGAACTGAAGAATTCCAAACATAAAGCCAGAAGTCATTTGTATGATCTCTTCTTCACTTTGCAAACATTTCTCTTATACAAGCACCATCAAACTCAACCATCGACACTCAAAACGTCGTCTGAAATCTCCAGAGAAGAATGATTTCTTTTCAGCAGCGCATTACATGACAGCCACAGAGGATGAATTAGCATTTATGAACGCTGAACTTCACTTGGTATCCTCGTGGCCCCATCAAGAATCAACCTGTTTAATAATCCACAAATGTGCTGCCTTCTGTTAGCGCACACACGGGAGCACGTCGCCTGCTTTGTGAAGCTGCAGCTCCACGCTTTGCAGGGAAAGCAAACAGGATTTAGGACAACCTAAAGTGTTCCCAAAAAGGCAGATGGTTCATCAGGTTTCTGGGGCAGTCTTGGAGGTCTTGTTTTGCTTATTGTGATGAATACATAGTAGAGATACTAAAGGCCATTTTATGAGGTGGAGGGCAGACCCTTCGTGTGGAAAGCATGGGAACACTCAGTAATGCTGCTAAGGTTTGCTGTGTGGCAGTGCTCGAAGCTGACCACTTTAGTGGTGATGTGTAAGGGTCTCTTGAAACAAAAGGCACATCCCAGGCAAGGTAATGGTGCTTTGGAAGCCAGGGATGCTGCAGGCTGCCGTGGGAGCAGCAGCGCGCTGGTTGGAGGTCTGCAGAAGCTGCTAAGCGGGGAGCAGTCTCTTGGTGGGCTCTGTGAGGCAGTGTGGTCTCCCAGAGCTCACAGTTAGGACAGCCACAGATGTGACAGAAGCGGCACAGATGAAGTGATGATGAGGAGAAACCTTTTGGACCTTCCCTTTGCAAGAGGGAGTTTAAAAACAGAGATGCCATTCTTCCTGTGCAGAAAGCCTCAAAGATGAGAACCTTCCTGTCCATAGGCTGAACACCAGGACAAAAGAAAGGGAAAGACTCCAAACACCATCTCCAAGGAAGGAATGAGAGAGCAGCCCAGGAGGACGCAAGCCTTACGTGGCACTGAGTGCAGCGACTGCTGCAGGCTCTGCCCAGCACCGTTCTCATGGCGCTCCACCTGCTCCTGGTCTCCAAAAGCCAGCTGTGCTGAAGATGCCCCTCCTGCTGCAGGCACACCTGAGAGGCTGATCTCATGCTCAAGGCAGAAGATGTCCAGCTCCAACACAGGAATATCAAAGCAGATCGCTTTGGCTTCTGCTGAAGCACTGAGGCACGAGAGCAGCTTGCCTAGCAAAGCAGTGTTTGCCATCCTGTGCTTATCAGGAGGAGTGAATGCAGGATCCCCAGCTGCCCTCATGTGTCAGCTCCTGTGACACACAGCCATGCAGCAGGGGGAGAAGCTGGCAGGCTTTCCCCCTCTATCAGCACTCATCTGATCTCGTTAATGAAAACAGAACAAATTTAACAGGCTTGGTGCAGAAATAACAATGCTTTTTAAATGCTTCCTGTTTTAGGTATTAGCAAATCCTGAGCAGCTCTTTAATAGCCCTTCTATGGCAGAAGATTTGGGTCGCTCTGGTGCCAACCAAGTGCTCCCCAGGGCAAGTCTCAGCACGGCTCAGAGATAAGAGACAAATGAAGCAATCAGAGCAGCCTTGCACCATGTAGAAATAGTTCTGGTCCAGCATTTCTGCCTGCATTTCTATATCCTCCGTGGCAGTAAGGATGATTAACAATAACGCATAACAATGCTGTACAGGAACTAAAACACATCGAGTTATTAATCAAAGATAAATGTGGTTTTATTTTCTCTCATACTGCAGTAGCACCTAAAGGAGAGTCGCCCAGTGTCACTGTGTACCAGAGACCTCCAGGTGGGGGAGAACTCCTGCTGCTGTTGCCCTATGGAGAGCAAACAGACCGAGAAAGAGGCACCAAAGGTCACCTCGACTGGAGAAAGCAGGGCCCAGAGTGACATGCTCTTGGGAGATGGGAGCTTTAGCAGGCAGAACACCCTCAGCTCAAAGCCACTGACTTCAACTGATGTTCACTGGCCCTGCTTGAGAGTTCATTCTCCGCTGCCCCCATTTTGCTATCCATATCTCACCGTAGGCTTTCCATAGGAAGGACTTCTGTGGATCTCAGATGTTAAAATTTATTTCTGAATTTATAGTAGTAATTTAATACATCCAGTTGGAGTTAACTGCAACATCCTCTTAGCCTATTAACTTTTATTTCTGGAGCTCCTGGGGCTCCTGCAAAGTAATTAGCAGAACTATGGCAACTGAGCGGATTATTTTATGTGCTGGGCACACAGCATTTATATTACTCTCATGCTTCTGGTTTCCATAGGAGGAAAAAGCATGAAAGTTTATTGTGGGAACTGCGAGAGATCCATCATTTAGAAATTAAAACGCACAGAATGCTGGACACCTGCTAGAGCACTGCTGCCTTAAAGCTGCAGGTTTGCCAAACCTCTCCCACCTCCAGCACGGCCCTTTTGAGCAGCAAAAATCCTTTAGCAACCGCAGGGGAACAATTAATGCAGCACAGGGCGTGTGTGCAAGAGAGATGCTTTCTCCCACAAGGTTCTTCAGTAAAAACGAGGAGATTGTGGGCCATAGAAAGGCTACAGAACCTGGGAGGGCCTCGGTAAGCAGTCAGCCTGGAGACTGTTATTCCTTTTCCTAGCAGTGCCCTGCTGGAGCTTGCATGGGGCTGTGAAGGCTCAGCTGGTGGTCTGCTGGAAAAGCGGAGAACAAAGCGAGGCTTTCAAATGGCAGAGATTGTCGTGAAAAGCAGCACTTAGTGAAAATTGGGGAACTCTCCAGCTGTGTATAAAGCCTTATCAGTGCCGTATCTCATCCACACAAAGGGTGTCCCATTTCACAGTCTGAAATAGCAGGCTGTATCTGCAAATACAAATGAAGCACTGAGCTGCCCCTCGCAGCAGCGAAATCTGCACAGCTTGCCAGCTCCAGACAAAATACTGAGAGATCTCTTCACCCTAGAGCTTGTCCAGGGCATCTGGGTGTGCTGTACAACCTACACAGCCATCACCCTCGCTGTCATTCTGTACTGCCTTCCTCACCCTTGTGAGGTTTGTGGAGAGCCCATGCCACCTCCCAGCTGCTAGTGGAAGGGATAGAGGGGACAGGGCTGTGCTAGTGAACTCGCTGCCTTTGTTCTGACACAGCAAAAAATAACTCAGATACAAAGCAGCTCCAGCCACCGACAGCATGGAAAGGAGCAGCTCAGGCAGCTCCCAGCACACGTTCTGTGCCTGGGCAGAGCTGGCAGGTAGGAAAGGCCAAAAGAAATGCTTGTCTGCTAACCTGAGGCATGCCACGCTGTGCTCGTTTCAGATCCCAAGGAGACATGTCCTGCTTTCACCGCGCTCAGCTTCAGCAGCGCCCTGATAGGGACTGACCTGGAAGTGAAGCTGATGCTGTACACCAGGCAGAACGAAGACTGCGCCGAAGAGCTCAATTCTACAGCCTCCAAGTATCTAGATCTGAGCAAGAAAACCACCTTCATTATCCACGGGTACCGGCCCACAGGCTCTGCCCCGGTCTGGATCACTGACCTGGTGCATCTCCTGCTTTCTGTAGAGGACATGAACGTCATCGTGGTGGACTGGAACCGAGGGGCAACTACTATCATCTACAGCAATGCTTCCAGAAATGGCAAGAAAGTTGCTGAGATTCTGAAGAAATTTATGGATGAAATGTTGGTAAGTGGAAAGTTCACACTATGATATAGTTATTAATGCACAGGATGGAAAGGGCACAAAGGAAGTGCTTGAAAACAGCAGCATGTCTGGGAAAAGAAATTCCCAAAAGGGAACACATTCATTTGTTGGAAATGCAGCTACGCTGCAGTGCCAAACTCTGTACTTGGATGTGGTTGGATGGCATTTTGCTGTGATATTCAGTTCACTTTGCATTTCTGGATATTTGTTTTCCCATCCACTGAAACTCTGTTTCCACCTTCTGGATGTCCAAAGTCAGCTTGAAGTGACACCGGCTCTCTGCACTTTTGTGTCTAATGCTTTGCATGGGGCCAATGAAAACTTGTTTCTGCCCGACCTGGACTCACTGCCCCACAGAAATACAACCTCTGCCTGAGCTGCTGCACTCACAGCTCTCAGATACGGGCCTCAAATACGAGTGCTGGATATACTGTGGGACTATTAAAGGGGAAAATCATAAAATCACAGAACATCCCCAGTTGGATGTAACCCGTAAGGATCATTGAGTCCAACTGTTATATTTATACAGAGTGGAACGGACCACTGGAAAACACAGAAGCAGCAGAGAGATGTGTTTACATCCTTCCTCCTGACTTTTTTTTGTGCCTTCTTAGCATGCCTAACAGCTGAGGTTCTGTCTTTAAATGCCAGATGAACGGCGCGTCGCTTGACTCCATTCACATGATAGGAGTAAGCCTGGGAGCACACATCTCCGGCCTCGTGGGACAGATGTTTGATGGGCAGCTGGGAAGGATCACAGGTAACCTTCCTGCTTCCAGGACTGCTGCTCACAGCAATCACTGTCAGCTGTGCCTTGGGCTGATGGCACACGCCTGGTTTTGCGTTGCAGGCCTCGACCCAGCCGGCCCCCTGTACAGAGGAAAGCCACCCAGTGAGAGGTTGGACCCCAGTGACGCACAGTTTGTTGATGTCATCCACTCGGACACCGATGGTACGTGGGACATCTCCTCTTTACTGCTGAAAGGAAACCTGCTGGGAGCGCGGGTTCAGGTTGGATATTAGGCTCTGGAGGGTTCCAGTTGGATACTGGGGAAAGTACATTCTCAGAAGGAGCAGTGAGGCAGTGGCACAGGCTGCCCAGGGAGGCGGTGCGGTCACCATCCCTGGGAGAGTGCAAGAAAAGTGAAGATGTGGCACTGAGGGACGAGGTCGCTGTGCATGGTGGGGGTGCACTGATGCTTGGAACTGATTATCATAGTCTTTTCCGACCTTAATGATTCTGTGATTCATAGGGAAGCAGGAGCAGCAGTGGGCAGCTCTGCTAGGACGATCCATGCTGCTTTGGCACCCTGCAGGTCTCCAGGGGGGTTGCTCAGAATGATGCTTCCTGTCTCCATCCCACTTCTGTTGGGTTTAACTATCCTATATGGCAAATCCAGCCCTCAGCTCTCTCCTCTCCCAGCCAGTGAATAGCACATCTCCAAACCCTCCCACTGGGCCAGCAGCATGACACGAGCCCTCTATTCTGCTCCCTCTGCTCCCCCTTCTCACCTCACTGCTGCCTTTTGCCACTGCCAACAATTCAGACCTCGGCAGCACAGGAACACCCAACGTTTCAGAGCCCTCTTCCTTTCCTGCAGGCAAAAAAGGTAAATTTTGCACTGTCTCATGCACACAGACTTATTTTAGGTGTCTGATGCCACTGCTAAAACGACCTCATTGGCCCACTGCACAAACAGGTGAACGGCTTTAACGTTCCCTGCACAAGCAGGCATCCTAGAGCTAAATAAGCATTATATTCTCCAGTTGGTTTCTTGTTTCCTTCCTTGCCATTCTACTATTCAGTATTCCCTCCCTGGCTATCTTCCTTTCCCAGGACTGGGCTACGCAGACGCCCTCGGCCACATTGACTTCTACCCCAATGGTGGCACCGACCAGCCAGGCTGCCCTCTGACAGTATTTGCTGGTAATTCATTTTTGATTTGCACACATCCATACACACTGACAAAATGTTTCCAATCAGAGAACAGGAGAAGGCCAAAGAAACGTCACCACAGCTAGAAAATAGATGGGAAAGCCATAAAGCAACCCCTTGCTGACGCACTGATGTAATGGGCTCAGCTGGTGGTCAGGGCTGGCACAAGCGTCCATGGGATGGATTTTCCACGCAAAAAACCATTGAGTAAATTTATGTTCTCATTTTGAGGCTATGTTTAGAAAACACAGGAAGGGTTTTTTGTACCCCAGGGAATAGCAATGCTAAGAACCTGCTCAGAAAGCAGGTTTGAGATGAAGGCAATGTGGTCTTTGATGGATGCAGCCACAGATGGTGCTGTTTTCTTGCTGCACGAGAATTGCTAATGAAATATTTCTTCTCTGTGTACGGTTAAGGATTGAAGTACTTTAAATGTGACCACCAGAGGTCTGTTTTCCTGTTCATGTCATCCTTGAAAAAGAGCTGCAATATCACCACGTACCCATGTGAGTCATACAGGAGCTACAGGAGGGGGAAATGTACCAGCTGCGAAACCTTCCAACCCATGCCATGCCCCATCCTAGGTAAGGACCAGGGGATTTTCCCATGCTTTGCACAAACACTTTGCATCATGATCTACAACTGAAATCCACACGGATGGGATCCAGGGTGGAAAAAGACAAAATAAGAATTGACATCTTTACACGATGGGCTGCTTTGGAGTGATAGAACCACAGAATGGCTTGAGTTGGAAGGGATCTTAAAGACCATCTGCTTCCAGCCCCCTGCCCCATCAGCTCAGGCTGCTCAGAGCCCCATCCAACCTGCCTGCGAGCACCCCCAGATGGAGCACCCACAGCTTCTCTTTGCAGTTGAACAGAGATATGCTGTTTCTTAAATATTTGCATTGTTATTCCCAGCAATTTAATTGCTGATGTACCTGCTCAGTAACCCTCTGTTTCATTTTTCAACTGTTGTCTACAGGCTATTACGCCCACGAGTGGAGAAGCCATTTAACAGAGCAGAGCCACCCAGTGACAACCATGTATTTTGATACCACGGACCAAGAGCCGTTTTGCTGTGAGTCACAAAGATCCCTGAAATGGTTTCTCTTCGTGCATCTCCTCCTTCAGCAGAGATGGTGGGCACTGACATGGAGACAGGGAGAGGAGAAAGAAAAGGCCTCTGGGTGCGCCGTGATGTAACCCTATGGAGAGTGCTTCCTCTGGGGCTTCCCCACACACATCCACCCACACCTCACCCCACGGCTCTTGGCACTCAGGACAGGGCTGGGATGCACAGCAGGGCATGGTGTGACCACGTTCTCTCTTGCTCACAGTATACCACTACTTTGTGGACATCGTCACGTGGAACAAAGGCACCAGGAGAGGCACGCTGAGCGTGGTGTTAGCTGATGGCACTGGGAAGAAGGCAGAATCCAAAGTTAACCCGTAAGTCTCACCGAACCTGATGAAGTACCAGTATTAGCAAACCACACAACACAGCTGGAGCTGGGAAAGAAGCAAGACCTCCTCTTCCCATTTTTGCTGATCCTTGGTACTGTAAGCATGCTAGGTGACCTCTGCAGTCCCTGGTGCACACCAGTGCAGCCCAGCCCTTTGCTCTGGGTGCTTCCCAGCTGCCCGAGTGCTGTCATGAACAGCAGGGAGAGGCCCAGCTCCCCACTTCCTTGCACCCAGCTCAGCAGGGATGAACCCAGGCCTGAACTACATAACACCCAAATCAATTCATTCTGCTTGGAGAGGCAAAAAAAAAAACCAGCCAGCATTCATCTAGACGTGCAGTTTCCCATTGCTATGAACACGCCTCAGCCCAGAGTCCTGCCCAACCAGTTTCCCCACATCTCTCTCACTGCATGTTCTCCCAGCCCTATATGCCCACGTCAGAACAACCCACGTAGCTCCAGCTTGCACAACCCATGGCAGCCCACACATGGCCTATTTACTGCAGGCAGGTAAGAACTCGTCCTGCCCATCACACCTCCCAGAGCCCCCAAACAAGGGCCGTGTGTGAGCGCTGCAGCCTGCAGGCGCCTCCAATCACAGCCATGTTCCTAAAGGAACCTCACAGCTGCCACGCACAGCTCACACGAGCAGCTCTGTGCTGGCCACCATCGCTCAGAGCAGCTGAACAGGTTCACATTGCAGATCTGAACGTGCAGCCACTTCCTAAAAGCCAGAAACTGATCACAAATCCGGTCCTCCTCCCCCAGCACTGTGCCTAATATTACACTGACTGCATTAAAGCCACGCTGTTCCCCTGGGGACTGCCTGACACTTGTCTGCTTTATCTCTAGCGAAGCTGCAGCCTTCCAGCAGTACAACCACCTCAGTTTGCTCGTTGGATTCAACCAGGATTTTGAAAACGTAAAAAGGATTTCTGTGACGTTTTCCACAGGATCTGTCATCGGCCCCAAATTCAAACTCAGGATTCTCCAAATGAGGTTCCGCTCACTCACAAACCCAGAAAGGTAAGTGCTGCACAAACTGTCCTTACTGCAAGATGGGCAGAAGTAGAGAAATCTCCCACATCCCAGGGCCGGCAAGTTTGTCAAGAGGAATTACATTGTATTCAATAATTCTTGTATACACGTCTTGGGAACAAATCCCCGACCATCTGCCCGACCACAGAGGTTATCTTGTTGCTTTGAAAACATAATTTGTGGTCTGATGTTTTAACCTCTGTTCAGGATCATGACCTGTGTGTGGCTGCACAGAAGCTGCCCAGGCCTGAACTCAGTGCTGAAAGCGAACAGAACTCTCAGGGAAATACAGCCACAGGAAATATCCATATCCAGTTAGGGAGATTCATTCCCTCTTGGAATCCCGGTGACCGGGAGCTGCAAAGCAGTGACTGCTGACCACTGCACACGCCGATGGGACTCCTGCAGAGACTTCGGTCATCCTTATCACCTCCATGTGCTCTGCAGCCCTACTGAAAAGACCCCTCAGATCCCCAAGTCCAACCCCAGCCCACCCCACCACATCCCTCGGTGCCGCATCCGCACAGCTTCCAGGGATGGCGATTCCCCGCCTCCCCGCGCAGCTGCGCAGCGCCTCGTGCTTTATCGCAGGCCGCCGCTGTGCCGGTACGACGTGGTGCTGACGGAGAACGCGGAGCGCAGCTTCAGACCCATCCCTTGCGGCGAGCGGCGGGGAGGAGCAGCACCAACAGCACCAACAGCAGCGGCGGCAGCGGGCGGCTGAGAGCTGTCGCGTCCCGCGGGCGCCACACGGTGGCGCTGCGCTCAATACAGACGTGCAACCCGAGCCCGTGCGCTGTCGCACACTCCCCCGCCAAGGCGGCCGCGCTGCGCACGCGCGGCGCTCCGGGTCGATCGCGGTGCCGCGATGTGGCGGCGGCCGGCCGGGCTGCTGTTGGTGTTCGCGGGCTCCACGGCCGCGCTGTGGCTGCTGTCGGCTCGGCTGGGCGCGGGGCAGACGGGCAGGTGGGTGCGGGAAGGCGGGCGGGCGGTCGGAGCGGTCGGAGCCGCGACGCGATTCCCACCGTGCGTCCCGTTAGGCCGCTGCGCTTCCCTTCGGACCTGGAGGAGCTGCGGGAGCTGAGCGAGGCGCTGCGGGACTACGAGCGGCGGCACCGCGGGGCGGCCGTGCTCCTGTTCTGCGCCGCCTACCTCTACAAGCAGAGCTTCGCCATCCCCGGCTCCAGCCTGCTGGTAGGGCGCCGTGGGGCCGCGCCGCGGGGCCGCGCTCCGTGCTGCGGGGCCGCGCCCGGCTGCCGGCACGCCGTTTCTCCGCAGAACGTTCTGGCCGGAGCGCTGTTCGGGCCGTGGGTCGGGCTGCTGCTCTGCTCTGCGTTGACGTCCCTGGGAGCCACCTGCTGCTATCTGCTGTCCGGAGCCTTCGGGAAGCGTTTGGTGGTGCGCTGCTTTCCGGATAAAGTGGCTCTGCTGCAGAGAAAGGTAACGGCCGCCGGTCCGGCTTGGCTCGGATCTCGTTCTCGCTGCTCGTGTTCCCCGCCGCTGGGCTCCAGGCGTACGCTGTTCAGCGGTTCTGGACCGGTTGCGTTGTGGGCTGTTGGGGAAATACATTGCCGCAGCCCTGGAGGTGCTCGGAGCCGGGCTGGTTGGGCTGCGGGCAGCCTGAGCTGATGGGAGCACCCAGCCCACGGCAGGAATGGCGCTGGGGGAGCGTTAGTCCCTGCCGAGCCGTTCCGGGGCTGCGGCCATTCCGCTCGTACTGCTAAAAGAGAGATTTTCTCTTGCCAGGTCGAAGAGAACAGGAGCTGCTTGTTTTTCTTCCTGCTGTTCCTGAGGCTGTTCCCCATGACGCCAAACTGGTTTCTGAATCTCTCGGCTCCCATCCTGAACATCCCCATTTCCCAGTTCTTCTTCTCCGTTCTCATCGGTGAGGCCTGGGGATGCTGGCAGAGGGGAGGTGGTGGCACTGCCTCCTCAGCACCGAGCCCTGGGCTGGGGAAGGCAGAGCAGCAGGGCTGAGCTGGAACTGCCCCAGTTAGCTGCTCATGTTCACGGAATCACAGGATGGCCCAGGTTGGAAGGGACCTCAAGGATCATGAATCTCCAACCCTCTGCCACATGCAGGGCCACCAACCTCCACATTTAATACTGGACCAGGCTGCCCAGGGCCCCATCCAATCTGGCCTTGAACACCTCTTGGGACAGGGCATCCACAGCCTCTCTGGGCAGCTGTTCCAGCACCTCACCACTCTCATAGTAAAGGTTTACACTGCTCCTCTTGTAAATGTGGGTGCAGCAGCAGACAGCAAAGTTTTGTATCACGCCCTTGTCTTTCTGTCACAAACACAGACACCTATTTGACCTTGGGCAAGGATGCGTTTGGGCTAATTTGGCATTCCTTCATGGAGGCAAAGGGGATGCTAACTCTCTTCTCTTTTTGCTCTGATTCTTCCAGGTCTTACCCCCTACAACTTCATCTGTGTACAGACAGGAGCCATTCTATCACAAATCAACTCTCTGGATGCCATTTTCTCTTGGGACACACTGCTCAAGCTGCTTCTAATGGCTATGGCAGCATTGATACCAGGGACTCTGATCAAGAAATACAGCAAGAAGCACTTAAAGCTGGATGAAGACGAGCACGCTCCATTACTCAATGGCAAAAAGAGCATGTGACAACTCAGATGGCCCAGGTGCTGGGGGACTGCCTCACAAAAGCTGCTGGTCTCTGTTCCTGTGGGTTATATTCTGCATGCTCTGCATCCTTGTGGACCATGGATAACTGCAGCTTTTACTCTTCTCCTCATTAAGAGGAGGTGTAACGTTCTCCTTTTTAATTAATGTTTTATCGTGCGTGGATCTGCACTGAAAATAGAAGGAAACTTGGTGAACACTGAAGGTAGATTGCCTGTGTCCTTTAAGTCAGCCTGCATCTCTGCTGTGCTGGCAAGTGTTGCCAGCCTATTGCAAATGCATTAGCACCTGGCAGAGAAAGGCAGGAGTAGGGGCAGCCGTGGAGGAAGGTGACTTGTTCCTCCTGGCCAAGCACCACATTCCTGTGGTCTCCCTGCCAGCCCGAGCCCAGTCTTCTCTGGAGGACTTGTGGAGAAGCACAGGCCAGCTCCAGTGTTGGTGCAGCAGTACTCCAGGAGGAGGGGAAGCCTGGGCTGGTCCCAGCACCTTGACTGCCAAAGCAGCCAGCTGCTCACAGTGAGGCAGCACTGCACTCAGCTGTGCCAGCAGAAGCCTTGGCTTTTTTTCACTGCCTTTCTAAAAGCAGTGTTTCTCAGCTCTCAGGCTGTGTTCCTCCCCCAGCCTTCTCCCCATCCATACCTATTCAGTATTTTTGGCATAAAATGAAAAACAATCCTCCTTCTGTGCTGTTAGGTGTAGAGATACAAATAGAAAGTTGAAAGACCAAAAAAAAAAAAGGAATGTTTCATGGTCACTAGTTTGTCCCTGTACCTTCCACAGGAGAGCTTTCCCAGATTCAGAAGACACTTTTCCTCTCACTGTGCTTTAATGCACATCCTGCAGTGAAAACATCCAAGTTTGAGGACAGCCAGGAGGTGTCTTTGTGCATCAGGTCTGACAGGGAGCTGCTCCTTCCCACCACAGCAGCCAGAGTTGGAAGCGACCAGGACAGCAAAGGGCAAAGTTCTCAGGATTCAACTACCCAGCTCACGGCAAAGCAGCTTGCACAAGTAAAGGTCACTGCTTGGGGTCAGCTGGGTGCTTAAAGTCTGCTTGTGTGCCTTCACATCTGGTATTCAGAGCTCGAAGTAGCTCCAGCTTGGCTGGGGTTAGAGACAGGCAACTGAAAAACAAACTGCTTGCCCACATCTCATTAATTATTGCAAGACTTTGTCCCAGAGCATACCGCAAACCATTCCCAGGTACCAGACCAGCCTGAAAAGCATTGAAGTACACTGGCTTTTTATTCCATGCATTGTTTGCTTTGATAGTCATTCTTGTTTCCATCACTGTACACTGTTCAATACAAAAAAATCAAGTTTGTATCAGGAATCCGCAGAGCAGGGAGGAGAGAGATGAACACTACTGGACAGGGCCAGGATGAAATGGTTACTCAACACGACAGCGGGGAAGGCAACATTCAGCATTGGGAGAAAAATCTAGGCTAGTGTTCAGGAGCTGTCAGCAGCCACGAGAACTGGCTCAGGGAAGTCAGGATGCTGGAAAGGGAACACAGTTTACTTCTGTCCTGCAAACACGGTGTCACTGCAAGGAAGTGCACAGAACTGCAGCGACACATCGCAGTCCATGCGCAGATCTGGGCCAGCGGCACCACGCAGAGCACTGCTCAGCCCCCTGCACAGCCACACGTGGGGCACAGGGCTGTGTGTTCACACAAGGAAGGGGCAGCCCTAGTGGCAGCCCCAGGACACTGCATTGTAGGCAGCAGCTACGAGGAGCAGAGAAGCTGGACGTAACAGTGTGACATGCAAGAAACCAGGCCCCAGAGTGGCTGCAGTGTTTGCAGCAGCCAACCAGAAGGGTTCAGCTCTGCTCCTCCAGCTGCAAAACAGGCCAGCGTGTCCCAGGGCGAGGCAGGGAGCAACCACTGCTCCGCCAGGACAGCTGGCCAGGAAGGTCCCCAGATCCCACACACCAAGGCATCCGCATCTCTGCGGGCCCAGAGGAGTTTCAGCGCATTGAGAAGCTCTGAGCTGAGGCTGCAGCTACCAAAAGCCCCAGAGGATCATCTTGGTAGGGACAGAGTTAGCACGGACTGAAGCACAGAGACTGAGATAGGCCTGAGCTGGAGGCAGCTGTGCTGTGGGCCTATTGCTGCAGGACTGCTTGGGGGTACGGTGGTAGATGTGATGGGGAGTTCTCAACCTCTCTTTATGGAGTCGTTTGATCTTTTTCTTTGTGTGCGTATGTTACACGCACAATTCTGCACCGCTCAGTTCTCATGCCCTAGCCTCCAGCTTGCTGGGTAACTATCTGTAGCACCTCATCTGCACCAAAACCTCCCACACCACAACAGCAAAGTCTTGCCACCTCACATACCACCAGCCATGGGAGAGGCCTTTGGGTGGAAGAATGAGTGATGGAAGAGAGAGTAAACAAGAAACAAACCAGACAAGAGCTTCACTCCCCTCCATGCTCCGTCTCGGTGCAGAGCTGAGCATTGCTGCTGCAGGCAGCGTGAGCTGATCTCTCCACAACCTGACAGTCCTGCAGCAGCAATGCACCATGTGCCAGCAGCAACTGCCCACTTCTCTGCCTGTCCTTCTGGGGATCAGTAAAGGTTACTCCCTTTGTGACCAACACCACAGCCACTCGCTCCCTGGTCACTGTTCCCCACCAGCTCACGGGCTGCCAACTCAACCAGCAACACAAGGAACTGCAGCATCCCCACAAGGAATACCCTGGGCTCAGGCTGACTGCAGCCATCCCACCCCGACCAGCTGTGCCAGGTTCCCTGCCCTAGAGTGACAGCACCCATGAGAAGCATGGGAGGCAGCAGCTACTGACAGCCACTGAGACCAGCTCTGCTCCC